CAATAATCTGGAATTCGTAACATTTTTATCTGAATTGAAAAATTAATTTAAACAAAATACCTTGGTAAGCAATAAAATACAGAGTTTTATGTAATTGATTATACCATTTTATAACTGTAACGTAAAATCTAAATTTTATTATAGATTATCAAGTTTAGTGATACTTTTTTAATTGAAAATTGTAGCTAAGTTTGCATTAATATAATATTTTATAACTTTAAAAAGTTTAATTTCAAAATAAACTTGTTAGTTTATTAATTTAATACTGTTCTTGAAAAGATATTTTTACAATAGAAATTAATACACAATAACTATAATTCCTTTACAATTAATTATACATTTAAAAATTTAACACTTACATATTTGAACCAATTTTTTAACTTATTTATTAATTCTAAAATTTATTATTACAAGCCCACAAAACAAAATAGGATAATATTTATTTAATTTAAACAATATTTAAAATTAACAAATAATAAAAATACAATACAATTTTTGTTTCGTAAAATGATAATACTTTTATAATCATTGCATTAATGGTAGCATTAAAATTGATAATTTTTACTTGACATTGAAAACTTTTATGAATTTTAATTAAAGTAGCTTATTGTGTTATTTCATTATTAACAGCTATTTTGATATTGTGTGATTAATTTGTGCGTTCAATAATTTTATTTTTATTGAATTAAAACAAATAGTAATTAATTTTTATTTTTATTGCCATAAACAATGAAATATTATCCATACATAATTATTATAATTTGAATAAATGGTTTCATTTAAATATGTTTAGTAAATAGTTTATCATTATTTATAAAATTAAATGCTTATGTTTACATATATTAAAGTTTATATTTAACTTATAATTTATTAGTGTATAATTAAAAGTTAAATATAAGTGTAAGTTAATACTTAATTAAATCATGCTAGCCAAATAAATATAGTATAATAAATCATAGTTTAAAGATTGAATCGCAAAAATATAGATATTAATACAGCTAACATATAAAATTCAAAATAACGAGTTAATAATTCTTTAATTCAAGTTTTTAATAAATATAAGACCTGGATTATTGTAATTTCTTGATTAACTTACAATTACAATTACGAGTACTGTATAAATAACAATTAATAAATGAAAATAATTATGTTTTCAAAATTTTTCGTCCGGTTTGCAATATGCCGTACGCGGACAGCCCTAACCACATGCCTATCAGTCCACCCATATTTGCGATGAACGATATGAACGACATTTCCGGCGAGTGCTCCACCATCTGGTCTGGGAGTGGGCTATGCCTTAGATTGATGCCTATCATCTTATCCCAAGGTTTCACTTTCGGGACCTTAACCTTATCATCAATGAACACATCGTAATAACTGGTACGACAGTCCTGTCGACATACCACATCGCACTTTTCAGCGGCTACCTGTCCACACTGTAAGCGCCGATTAAAGGGACACATATAAGAACCCTTTGCAAAATGGTGCTGGATAAAATTGGTCGACCATAGGGTACAGTTGA